GCTCTCTCACACATATATTTTATGGCAAAATTAACTGGTGCGGTAAAATAATCCAAAGAATCAGAGTAATATATATTTTAGTATACAATGTATGGTTTTCTTAAATATATTTATATTGATTTCAGAGAGGAAGGGAGAGAAATACCAATGATGAGAATCATTGATCAGCTGCCCCCTTCACGCACCCTACTGGGGATCGAGCCCGCAACCCAGGCATGTGCCCCTGATCAGAACTGAACCCGGGACCTCTCAGTCTGCAGGGCAACTCTCTATCCACAGTGTGTGTCTTTTTAATTTATGAAATATGTAACAGAAATTTATTAATGGAACCTTGTTTCATATTTTTTTGGCCTTCCTATAATGTATAGAATTTTTATGAAATATTTTGATGGCTTTAATTGGATGAAATTTCTATTATTTTCACAACCTAGGAAGCAGTTTTAAAGTCTGAGAAATAGTAATTTTAAAGCTTTGACTCAATTTATACTAAAGAATTTTTAGTATCTCTTGAAGGCGGAATAGTATGCCTTTTCCTCCACCAAAGTGCAAACACTTTAAAAAATTATGTTACTGTTAGTGTGGCTCATAAAAGTAGGTACTTTCATGCATTGTTGGCGGAAATGTAATTTGGGACATACTTTTTGAAAGTTGGTTTGGAGACACACATAAATACATATGTGCATGCACGCGTCATATATAAGTGTGTCATATATTTGTGTGTACTAGTATATATATATATATATATATATATATATATATATATATGTATATATACATATGTAGTTTGGACCATTTTCCTAAAGAAATCTTAGAAAATGTTATACATTATTATAGAGATATTCATTACATTTTTACAGGTGTTTCTAGGTAAAACATAGGAGCAACTTAAATGCTCAGGCTTAATGGAACAATTGAATAAATTATATTCATACAATGAACTACCATGTATCCATTAAATCATATGGAAGAATAGCCAATGACTTGTTAAAGTGTTGATATATCCTAAAGGCTATTGCATAATGCTGTGCACAGCATAATAATGCCATGTTTATGTGTCCAGAAAAAAATGCTAAAAGAATATTTGCCTAAATATTAACAATGACTATACTTGAGCGATGGACTTATAAATGGATTTTTATATTTTCCTATAAAATGTTCCCTGTCTTCCAAGTTTTCTGTGGCAATGTGTATTTACACTATGTTCTTTTCTGACTTTTTTATAGTAATAAAATTCTGGAAACAACTCAAATGTGCATCAGGGAATTGGTTTTAAAAAATAGTGCATTCGTGCAGGGGAGTATTGTACCATTTTAAAAATCTGACTCTTAAAAATATTTAAGAATGAATAAGAAATGCTTATAATAAGTTAAAAAGGTATATAGATGGATTGCCATTTTGATCGCCTAGAAAAATGTTAGAATTACATTAACATGTTAATGGGGTTACCAATGAATGGTGGAAGCATTTATTGGCTCTTTTGATTTTCCTTTTTAATAATTTTCTATGCATTCAACATATGTAGTTTTTATAAACAGAAAAATGTAAACAATAAAGAAGTTTGTTTGGTTACTGTTAAGATACACCATCTATAGGAGCATGATGCCTTCACACTGCATCTCTACCCAATGTATCAGTGTCCTACACAGTAAGACAGGGACATTTCAATATTTTATTTTAGTACTTGGGTCTCTCTGACAAACAGAAAGAACTTTGGGTAAAATATTCGCTTTGCCCTATAAGATACTTAGAACAACATGGGAAAGGGATGTACAGTGATCTGGCCCCAGGTTCACATTTCTGAACTGTGATACTATGGTTTCTTACTCATTTACCTGTTCAGAATCTAAGTAGGCAAAGGTCAAAGCAATTTCAAGTTCAGTGACACTTCAGGTGTAGCCTTCCTCCTTGATACAAGGGCCACACCCACAGTGTGAAGGTTTTCTAAGATCATTGAGTTTATACCTTTAGTACAACTCTAGTGGCAGCCTCTGATTGATTGTCAAGGCAAGTAACATCTTTGTTGGACTCAGGAAATGAAGTTGTGTACACACACACACACACACACACACACTTGGAAGACTTTGGGGAAGAAAATGTTTTTATGTCCTTAATTATATATCTTTAATGTTGCAAAAAGCTTATAAGGCATTCACATGCATATTGCATCATGGGCAATAAGTCCAAAGATGTATCTATGTGCTGCCACTGATGTGTGGACTCAGTATTTATTGAAAGCTTATCTGTATATGATTCTGGCTAAATGAGATAAAGGACACAGTCCTGCCTTCATTCTTAGATGGAGTCACAAAAAACAGCTCCATGAATTTTACATACTCTTTCCATGTCTTTTCTCTAGTAAAATAGTCAAAATTATAATTGACATGTACTGACTTTCACTTAAATTGAGTGTAACAGCATTTTAAAGGTTCCGTTTAAAAATCATCGCCATGGGACCCACTAATATCGCCAGTGAAATTTGCCAAATACATGTATTTCAAAAATCTGAGTTAGTTTCTGGGAGAACCAAGATGGCGGCATAGGTTAACGCCGGAGTTTGCTGCTTTGAACAACTACTTCAAAAGTGAAACTAAAAGACAGAACGGACATCACCCAGAACCACAGGAACGCTGGCTGAGTGGAAGTCCTACAACTAGGAGGAAAGAGAAACACATACTGACACTCAGAGGAGGCACAGTGCTGAAGTCAAATTCTGAGGGGCGGAGTGCGCGGAGCGGGCTGGCGGCGGAGGGCGCGGTTGGCATTTTCAATTGGGAGGGAGTCGCAGACTCTGAGCTCCAGATACGGGCGAGTCTTTAGGGACCCTGACTCAAACGGGAGAAGCGGGACTGTCTGGCTTCGGTCAGAGCGAGTGCAGCTTTCTCTCTGAGCTTTGCAGCGGGTGCTGGGACTCAGAGAGGCAGAGCCCCTGGGGACAGGACTGAGAGCCGCCATAACTGCTCTCTCCGGCCCACCCTGTTGATCCTGTGCGACCCGCCCCGCCCAAGCCCTGCACACAGGCATTTGCCGGATAGCCTCAGGCAAACGCCAGATTAGCACCTCCCTAGAGGACAGAAGTTCTCTCACTGCTGACACAGCTGATTCTCATAGCCACTTGGCCTGGAGGTCAAACCCTCCCTGGAATTAGCTACAACAAGGTTTAACTATAAGACTGCGCACAAAGACCACTAGGGGGTGCACCAAGGAAGCATAACAAAATGCGGAGACAAAGAAACAGGACAAAATTCTCAATGGAAGATATAGAGTTCAGAACCACACTTTTAAGGTCTCTCAAGAACTGTTTAGAAGCCGCCGATAAACTTAATGAGATCTACAAGAAAACTAATGAGACCCTCGATCTTATATTGGGGAACCAACTAGAAATTAAGCATACACGGACTGAAATAACGAATATTATACAGACTCCCGACAGCAGACCAGAGGAGCGCAAGAATCAAGTCAATGATTTGAAATTCGAGGAAGCAAAAAACACCCAACCGGAAAAGCAAAATGAAAAAAGAATCCAAAAATGCGAGAATAGTGTAAGGAGCCTCTGGAACAGCTTCAAGCGTACAAACATCAGAATTATAGGGGTGCCAGAAGATGAGAGAGAGCAAGATATTGAAAACCTACTTGAAGAAATAATGACAGAAAACTTCCCCCACCTGGTGAAAGAAATGGACTTACAGGTCCAAGAAGCGCGGAGAACCCCAAACAAAAGGAATCCAAAGAGGACCACACCAAGACACATCATAATTAAAATGCCAAGAGCAAAAGATAAAGAGAGAATCTTAAAAACAGCAAGAGAAAGAAACTCAGTTACCTACAAGGGAATACCCATACGACTGTCAGCTGATTTCTCAACAGAAACTTTGCAGGCCAGAAGGGAGTGGCAAGAAATATTCAAAGTGATGAATACCAAGAACCTACAACCAAGATTACTTTATCCAGCAAAGCTATCATTCAGAATTGAAGGTCAGATAAAGAGCTTCACAGATAAGGAAAAGCTAAAGGAGTTCATCACCACCAAACCAGGATTATATGAAATGCTGAAAGCTATCCTTTAAGAAGAGGAAGAGGAAGAAAAAGGTAAAGATACAAATTATGAACAACAAATATGCATCTATCAACAAGTGAATCTAAGAATCAAGTGAATAAATAATCTGATGAACAGAATGAACTGTTGATTATAATAGAATCAGGGACATAGAAAGGGAATGGACTGACTATTCTTGGGGGGGAAAGGGGTGTGGGAGATGCGGGAAGAGACTGGACAAAAATCGTGCACGTATGGATGAGGACAGTGGGTGGGGAGTGAGGGCGGAGGGTGGGGCAGGAACTGGGAGGAGGGGAGTTATGGGGGGGAAAAAAGAGGAACAAATGTAATAATCTGAACAATAAAGATTTAATTAAAATTAAAAAAAAATCTGAGTTAGTTTCTACTAAATATTAAGGACCGGGCCCTGGCCGGTGTGGCTCAGTGATAGAGCGTCGGCTGGAGAACAAGGGTCGCGGGTTCGATTCAGGTCAAGAGCAGGTACCTGGGTTTCGGGTTCCCCTCCCCGACTGGGGCCCGTGCAGGAGGCAACTTGTGAATGCGGAGGCTCTCACATCGATGTTTCTCTCTCTTCTCTCCCCACTCCCTTCCAATTCCTCCAAAATCAAAGGAAAAAATATCCTCCAGTGAGGTTTAACAGAAATAAAATAATAGAAAGGACACGGTTTAGCATATAATAGTTTTCCCAAAGGAACAAAAGCCTTACACTGATTTTTCTTTTTTTTTTACACTCTGTGCAGTTCACTCAAAACTTTCAAATGTTATGATTCTGAACAGGCCCCAGGGCAAGACTTTGTGCCTCCCAGGAAAAACAGGCAGCGTGGACGCCAAGGATACACAGCAGACCAACGAACGAATGAAAAGGTGGAAAGCGATAAAGAAAGAAAAAAGAAACGGAAAGCAAGCATGTGAAATGAGGCGACAGAGAGCAAAAATTAATATTTACTTGATCTGCCCGTTCTCCACGTAGGTCGTCCTATAAAAGCCCACGAGCGAGCCGTTCAGCTGGCCGGCGAACTCCAGGGTCAGGCGGTAGAAGCCGTCGCGGGTCGGGGCCAGCTCCGCGTCGGCCTCCACCACCACGTACTCCTGCTTTCGGTACTCGAAGCAGCGCTGCACACCCACGGCCGCCCCGGAGGGCCCGCGCAGCGCGGGGAGCCGGCTGATCTTGGTCTCGCGGAGGTGCAGCCACAGGTGCCGGGTGGGCGCGCTCACGTTGATGGCGATGGTCACGGTGCCCGTGTACGTGTCCTGCTCCAGCACCGGCTTCACCTCCAGGTCGTAGTGCACCGGGCTGATGGAGTCCGGGAGCCTGAAGTTCTTCCAGCCCCCACTCTCATCCTCGCTGGCGGGGCAGACGCCCTGGTCCTGCGGAGGGCCGGAGGTGGGAGGCCCCTGGGTGGGGGCGCTTTCCGCGGGGTCACACGATCTGGTCAAGCCAACAGCGAGTCCGACGATCAAGCCTACGCCCACCACCACCGCGCAGATGATGGCCACATGTTTCCCTCTAATGCAGTATCTCTTGGAGTCGTCTCCCTCCGCAAAGTTCATCGTTGTTTCCAAAGACAAAGGCTGCTCCCGAAAGGATGTTAAAACTAACTGGCGGACGTCAGCAGACTTCCTTTTTTTAAAAAAAAAAAAAAAATGGGGGGAATGCCCTGGTTTGGGCAGCCTGTTTTCACTTTCCCCACACCTCTCTCTGGCTTCTCTCCCTGCACGTTTCCGCCAGCCACCCAAGGATGAATGCGGAGGAGGGATGGGGTGGGAGAGGAGCTGAGCGGGAGGGAGAGGACTGACGAGAAAATTGTCCCCGCTGCCTTATAAACAGCGCACCCCCACCCCACCCCTCGGGCGCTGGAGGGAGTTAAATATAAAACAGGACTTAGCTTATCAGGCAGCAGGAGGATGGTCCTTTGCCAAAGCTCTGTCAGCAGCTTTCTGGAGAACATTTGGGAAAGGGGTGTGCTGGCCATAGAAAAACTCAACCTTTGTCACCGGGTCTCTGCCTTCTTCCTGCTGTGCTCACGGTCTCTCTCTTCACCGAAGGGCTTCTTGAATTTCAGCTGTTTTATCAGGTAGCTTGCCAAAGAAGCCAAGTGTTTTCATTCTTTTCCTCATGTAATGTAAACATTCAGGTCCTATCTTTTGCCAAAATTCATGTCCTGGAATCGGATGTTCAGAGCGATGCATAGATTCAAGGACCACTTGGGGACTCAAGTGAGTATTTAATGAACAGGGGAGTTAGTAAAGCAGAGCCAGGTAGCCCTCAATGAGTACAGTGGATGCTGGATGGAAGAGAAGGGGAGACACGAAGAAATTAGCCAAAGCAGTCCTGGGCTTGAAAAGCCCAAGAGACGGAAGGGAGAAGGATTGGAAAGTCAGAACTCTAAGGAAGGTAAACTTGTTAGATAATCGTGTCAGATTAGATAAACTTATCTCTGCACTTTGCCTCCAAGGGAGATGTGCTTTAGATTTGGATGTGGTAGGTCACATTTGGAACAGATTCTGATGGGAAAGGAGGCCTGTTGGGAGACTCATTATTGCTTCTGAATGGTAAGGTCACGGGGAGAAATCACAAAATGACCTCCTTGTTAAAATGTAGGCACCTGAGCCTTCTCTATTAGTAGTGATACAATAATAATTATAAACATTTTGAAAACTTTCTATATGCTAGGTACTATACAAGAACTTCATGGAAGTTATTTAAATCTTTCCAACAACTCTGTAAGAGTGGTACACTTATGTTGCCTATTTTAAAAATGAGAAGACTGATATTTAAGAAGGTTAAGTCATTTGCTTAAGGTCAAACAACTGATAAATAGCAGAATTAAGGTTGGAACCCAGGTTGTCTGAATCCAAAGCCCATATATCTAACTCACTGCCTCCATTCTCTGAAGAAGAGAAATGTTTAACAGGGAGAAACGTTTAAAGGGTAAGTAACTATGAAAAACTTGATCAATATTTCCCAAAGTGCAATCCATGGATATTAATAGATATATTGGGGGCAAAAATAAAATAATGGGGACTAGCTATGCTTATGGGAAATATTAATCATGCTCTATTAACCATGATTGCCTTGTTCTGGTTAAAGAAAGGACATTCTAGCCTTAGCTGGTTTGGCTCAGTGGATAGAAGGGTCCTGTGGACTGAAGGGTCCTGGGTTCAATTCCAGTCAAGGGCACATACCCAGGTTGCTGGCTTGACCTCCAGTAGGTGACGTGCAAGAGGCAGCCAATCAATGATTCTCTCTCATCATTGATGTTTCTATCTCTCCCTCTCCCTTCCTCTCTGAAATCAATAAAAATATTTTTTTTTTTTAAAAAAAAAAAAAAAAAAAAAAGAAAGGACATTCTAACTTGGCTGGAAGTTGTATGCCCTCAGGAACTTGGACCTGGGAGTCAACCTTGGACCTAGCAATCAACCTTGGAACCATTCTCATTCAAGAACTGCCTATTATCATGGAAAGATTAACAACCTGATTGCCCAAACGATGGAGTCCCACTCCAGCCTCCCACTTCCCCATACCTGTAATCCCTACTTCCCCATGTAGTCTTTGTCCTACCTTATATAAGCAGCTGGCTTATGGGGGGCTGCAGAGCAGACTTTAGTGGATGACCTGCTGCTTTCCCATATTGCTGGCAGTATTTAAATAAATGCTCATATATGATTCAACCCTGTCTCTGCTTAATTGGCTCAAGTAGTGACAGGCAGCACGGACCCATTGGTTGTCCGATTACACTTACAGAGCAAGCAATGCTGGGTTAGAAAAAGTTATTAAGTTCTATCACTACCTTCCATTCTCTCAGAGCCTCCAGATGATATTACATATATTGTGAATGTCCCAGGCAGGATGTACTATTGAGTAGTTTCTACACTTAGTAGAAACATTTGTCAGTGTTTATTCTATATCTATTGATATGATAATATGATTTATATTTTTTTATTTTGATAATGTGGTAATCAGAATAATTGATTTGCAAAGATTGTACCAACTTTGCATCCCAACAATAAATCCCACTTGATTGTGGCATATGTCTTTTTTAATGTATTATTGAATTTGGCTAATATTTTGTTGAGAATTTTTGCATCAAAGTTCATCAGTGATATTGGCCTATAACTTTCTTTTTTAGTGTCTTTTTCTGATTTTGGTATATAGTAATGCTGGCCTCATAAAATGAGTTAGGTAGCCATCTCTCTTCTTCAATTTCTTGGAATAGTTTGAGAAGTATAGGTATTAATTGTTGGAATGTTTGGTAAAATTTACTTATGAAGCCATCAGGTCCATAACTTTTGTTTTTTGGAGGGTTTTTTTGGTTACCAATTCCATTTCATTAGTAGTTATGTGGACAAAAGGGGCCACATGCTAACCTGACAAGCTCAGGGAAGGCCTGCACGGCAGTCTTGCAAACTCAAAGACCTGAAGTAACCACAAAGGATGGTCTGACATTAAACTTTAATTAAAGCAGTTATGGTGGGTAGTCATCTCCTAGGTGTTAATCTTCCCTGACAAGGTTAATCTTTACCTTAACTGAGCTTATTGTCTTTTTGACTGTATTATAACATATCATTGAAATATCAGGGTAACAACCCCCCCCCCCCCCCCCACCGACTCCTCAGGCAACCAAATGCCCTGGGTGCCAGGACAGATACCACAAATTCCTTCACTGTTATTGTTATCATGTTGATTGTTGACTGTTAACTATCCTGTACCCACTAAATAAAAGAAGTATATATCTTATCATTTTACTCTTTATCCAATCCCAGAGGTTTCCTTGCTTTGCTTTCTCCCGCCTCTCTAATCTATCAGCAATTGATTTCATGTAACCCACTTACATCTCCTCCTTTTGATTGCAATGTATAAAAATAGATGAAAAACGCCATTCTCTGAAGCATTATTCCAATCCGTTGAGATTCTGCTTCCCAGCAATTATCAACAGTTTGACTCAAATAAACTCACAAAAATTCTTTACAGGTTTGAATGTTTTTACGTTACCAGTTATAAGTTTGTCTGATTTTCTGTTTCTTCCTAACTCAGCCTTGGAAGATTCTATGTTTCTAGGAATTTACCCATTTTTTTCCAAGATGTCTAATTTGTTGGTGTATAATTGTAGTGTTTCCTTATAATCCTTTGCATTACTTTGGTGTCAGTTGTTCTATTTCCTCTTTCATTTCTGATTTTATTTATTTGGGCCCTCTCTCTCTTTTTTTTGTTGAGTCTGTATAGGCTTACCAATTGTGTTTACTCAAAGAACCAGCTCTTGGTTTCATAGATTGTTTCTATTGTTTTTTTCTTTTCTTTTTTAGACTAATTTATTTAAGTGTAAGTCTAGATTGTTTCCTTGAGATTTTTCTAGATTCTTAAGGTAGGCTGGTAATGTTATGAATTGCACTCTTAGAACTGCTCTGGCTGAATCCCATAGAGTTTGGATCATTGTGTTTTTATTTTCATTTGTCTCAAGGTATCCTTTGATTTCTTTCTTGATCTTGTTGCTAACCCATTGGTTAGTAGTATATTATTTAGCTTCCACATGTTTGTGCATTTTTCAGTTTTCTCGTAATTGATTTCTAGTTTCATATGATTGTGATCAGAAAAGGTGCTTTATATGATTTGTCTTCTTAAATTTTTGTGGCCTAACATGCGGTCTATCCTTGAAAATGTTTTATGTGCACTTGAAAATACTGTATATCTGCTACTTTTGGGTGAAATGTCCTAAAAGATTAATTAAGTTCCTGTGATCTAAATGTGTTAATTAAGGCCCTTGTGGCCTTGCTGATTTTCTGTCTGGATGATCTATCCATTGATATCAGTAGGGTTTAAAGTCCTATACGGTGACTCCATTGCTGTCCTTCCCTCCCTTTATGGCCGTCATAATTTGCTTTATATATTTAGGTGCTCCCATGTTGGGTGCATAAATGTTTATGATATTTATATCCTCTTGTTTAATTTATTCCTTTATCATTTTGAAATGCCATTCTTTGTCTCTTGTTGGAGCCCTTGTTTTAAAGTCTATTTTGTTTGATATAAATATTGCTACCTCAGCTTTTTTTCCCCTTTCAATTTGCATGAAATCTCTTTTTCAAACCCTTTACTTTCAGTCCGTGTGTCTTTTGATCTGAAGTGGGTCTCTTGTAGGCAACAGATATTCAAGTCTTGTTTTCTTTGCCCATTCAACCACCTTATGTCTTTTTGTTGTTGTTAATCCTCACCTGAGGATATTTTCCCACTGATTTTCAGAGAGAGAGAGTGGAAGGGAGGGGGAGAGACAGAGAAACATTGATATGTGAGAGACACATCATGTGCCCCACCCAGAGTGAGAGATGGAGCTTACAACAGAAGTACATGCCCTTGACTGAAATCAAACCAGGAACCCTTCAGTCTGTGGGCTGACACTCTACCCACTGAGCAAACTGGCTAGGACCCATCTTATGCCTTGTTATTGGAGCATTTACACCATTTACATATATAGTAATTATTGATAGGTATGTAGTTATTGCCTATTATTAATTACTAGAGGCCCAGTGCACAAAAATTTGTGCACTCGGTGGGGAGGGGGGGGGGTCCCTCAGCCTGGCCTGTGCCCTCTCACAGTCTGGGACCCCTCAGGAGATAATGACCTGCTGGCTTAGGCCTGCATCCGGGTGGCAGAGGGCAGGCCCAATCCCTAGGTGCAGCCCCTGGTCGGGCTCAGAGCAGGGCCAATTGGGGAGTTGGGGTGCCGCCCCCTGTCATGCACAGAGCAGGGCAGATCTGGAGGTTGCGATGCCACCCTCAGT